CTTTGTTTCTTCCTTTTCTCATGTGGTCTTCATTTACCATGGTCTCCTATTCCTTGTTCTCCCTCTCTGTTCTTGATCCAGGTGGGATCTCCTGCTCTCTTTCCCTTGACCCTCGCCGTTCATTGCTCCCACTCATGTCCAGGCTGTTCATGTAGATCTCAGCCAAAAATTGCTAATTTCTTGTTGAGTACGTATAGTTACTACATAATAGAAAAATAAAAGAAAGTAAAGTTGGAAATAATACAACTATGTCCGGCAATGTTAACGCTTCTCCATGTCAACAAGACCCCTAAGATAATAAAATTAGTTTATTTGTTGCTACTAGCCTGGGCATGGGAGGGAGATTATTTTCTGAAACATGACCCTAGAAGTGGACAAATCACTGAAAAACTTGTCAACCTTACTCCACACCCATTTCTGGCCATAATCCTTCAGTGAGGGTTACAGTTTCATTCGCTCCTCTCTTATGAGTGATGAAATGGTGACATGCCCCACCTTGTTAAATTTTATGCAGATAACCATAGCTGCAGTGAGTGCATGATTACAAAACAACAGAAGTGTTATCTTCTAGGGTGCATGACCTTCCCTGGCATGAGTTTTTGACTAGGTTTACTACTGCAGGACACAAGTTTATCCAGTGAGATTTCAGCTGTTATTCAGAAGGTCAACCCACCAGAAACATTAATATACTGATGGAGGATTAAACTAACAGGCAAGGCGTTTTGGAATTATTGCCTTTTGAATGAATAACTGTTCTTGCCATAGATTTCTTGTGCAAAGCCATAGCTTTTACCTCCTATTAAAGCTTGGGGATTTATTCCCACAGCTTTAGCAGTATATTAATCATTTATTGGGCACAATTTCTCCTATGAGCTGGCATATTGGATGACTTCCTCCAGCAGTGTGTGATTCTGGTGAGAAAGTAAATCACAGTCAAAACCTTTGTTCTCACAACCAGATCTTTGCCCCATTTCCCCAATATAAACTTAGAAGTGTGACCCCCTGCAATAATTTTTATTGGTAGACAGTTGGTCAGTATTAGTGTCTAGGCAGAAGATGTATCTCAACTGAGACATTCCCAGATGCCCAAGGACAAGCATCATGGCATATCTGACTTTGTTGATTCATAGTTCTCAGAGAGATAGGGAACAAGCATGCCCTGGATTTACCCTGTCAGCAGATAGGGAAGTGTTGCCCCAAGCTAACCTCACACTAACCTTAAACAAGTCCTTAACTCTTTGTGCTTACTTTCACCTCAGTTTATTGATGCAAGATTTTAGCTTAGGAGATTTACTGCTTGTATTTTACCCTGAGACGTAACACGAAAAAATAATTAACCATTTGTCCATTCCCAGAGAAAGATAATCTTCCCATGGGCATTGGGTTTATGCTGTAAATGACCAGAGTGACTAAGAGGTGTCAGGCTCTGAATTTTGTACATAATACGCTTGGATCCTTTCTTTGTTCTAACCACTTAGGGTAAAAGGTGTAACCTTTAGATCTAAAATGTTCTTCAAAGACAGCTAATATTTGGGGAAAGTGGAACAAACACCACATGTTTCCCCTGGTGTTTATTTAGGTTGCCTGGTTACCCAACACTTTCTCTGCCAGCCAGAACAAAAATCAGCAGGCTGAGAAAAGATGGTTCTTGCCTTACTTATTATTTTTGCTTATTATAAACTTTTAGCTTATTACCTAGTTACACTTATGAATATAGCAAATCACACAAATTCCCCTCTTAGATTTCACTAATGATTTAATCTCTCCTTCTCTTAATTAATGTATTTTCCCTTTAAGAGTTCATGGGGATTTTTACCAACCACTCCCACTTTGAGCCATACAGAAGCTGAAAGATACTACTACTTTGTGTAAAATTCTTATCTGTTTTTTTTTTGACACTGAAAAATTCTAGCCTTTACCTTGCTAGAGCCAGGTAAGAATTGCTGATTGTAAGTATTTATAAGCTAGAAACTAAGCTTCTCTTGGTCTGTGAATTGTAGAATTATTATCATTTACTTAATAGCTAATATCCACCTTTAAGTGAGTACATGTCTTTTAACAGGGAAATAGAAGAGATTTTGTGGGTGAACTCGGGTAGGTGATAATGAGAACAGGAGGAACCGGGTAGGGTGATGGAGGGAGACTATGGGGAGAGACAACTGGAACTGGAGGGCCTTTAAGAGGGTGATGTGGAAACAGTGCAATAGAAACTCCTACGATTCTATAAGGGTGTCCCCAAGGGAGGACTCCAAGTAAAGAGTATTTGGAGCCTGAACCAGCAGCCATCCTCTGTAACAATGCAAGACTTTCAATGGTGTGACTGAGACACCAACCCAGCAACAAAAACTTCAACCTACAATCCATAACTTGTGGTAGTGACCAACCAATGCCTGATCCAATGTGAGGCCCATGCCAACAGAGGAACCCCATGCTTGACACTGCCTCGATGAGTAAGAAGTGGCTTCTGAATGCCTAGTGACCTATTATAGGAAAAAAATCAATAAAATGATTCCTAATAATATTCTTAATATTCATAGATTGGTATCTAGTCCCATTGTTATCAAAGAGGCTTCCACCAGCAGCTGACAGGAGCAGATGCAGAGACCTACAGCTAAACATTAGGTGGAAAGAGATGCAAAATTAGAAATCTGCATCAGGTCCCTTTCCTTGGAGCTTGTGAAGCCAGTGGAAAGGGTTTAAGAAGAAATGTTGAAGCCAGAGAGATTGATGATACCACAAGAACATGGCCCATAGACATTAACTAAGTAGGGCTCATAGGGGCTCACAGAGACTTAAGTGGCAATCATGGAGTCTGCATTGGCCCTTGCTAGGTCCTCTGCATATACATTAATGGTTTTTTTCTCTTCCTTTTTTTGTGGGACTCCTAACAGTGGAGTGGTGATGTCTCTTGTGTCTGCTCTTCCTTCCTTCCTTCCTTCCTTCCTTCCTTCCTTCCTTCCTTCCTTCCTTCCTTCCTTC